CACTCACCCCAGCCTCCCAAAGGCGCGGGATTACAGGCTGAGCCACCGAGCCCGGCTTGCCCCTTTTTTAATGAGGTCATATTCTCCCCTCCCCCGTCAATTTGTTTGAGTTCCTTACAGATCCTGAATGTTAGGCCATTGCCAGACACATAGTTTGCAAATATATTTTTCCATTCTGTGGGTTGCCTCTTTACTCTCTCTCTTTTTTTTTTTTTTTTTGAGTTGGAGTCTCACTCTGTCGCCCAGACTGGAGTGCAGTGGCCACTCCCAGCCACCACAGCCTCGACCTGCTGGGCTCCGGCGATCCTTCTGCCTCAGCCTTTCAAGTAGCTGGAAGTACAGGTGCACGTTACCACACCCAGCTTATTTTTTTGATTTATTGTAGAGATGAGGTCTTGCTAAGTTGCCCAGGCAGGTCTCGAACCCGCAGGCTCAGGCAATCCACTCACCTCAGCCTCCCAAGGCACGGGAAAACAGGCTGAGCCACCAAGTCCGGCTTCTTTACTCTCCTGATGGTTTATTTTGCTGTGCAAAATTTTTTAAGGTTGATAGGATTCCATCTGCTTTTGCAGTATTTGCTTTTGAGGACTTGGTCATGAATTCATTTCCTAGGCTGATGTCCAGAAGAGTGTTCCATAGGTTTTCTTCTAATATCCTTATGGTTTGAAGTTTCACATTTAAGTCCTTGATCCATTTTGAGTTAATTTTTGTATATAGTGATAGGTAGGGGTTCAGTTCCATTCTTCTGCATGTGGTTAGGCAGTTTTCCCAACACCATTTGCTAGTAGGGTATCCTTTCCCCAATGTTTGTTTCTGTTGGTTTTGTCACAGATAAGTTGGTTAAGGTTTGTGGTTTTATTTCCAGGTTTTTAAAAATTCAATTCCATTGGTCTATGTGTCTATTTTAGTACCAGCACCATGCTGTTTTTGTTACTGTAGCCTTGTAGCAAAGATTGAAGTCTAGGAGTGTGATACCACTAGCTTTATTCTTTTTGCTGAGGAATCCTTTAGCTATTTGGGCTTCTGTTTGCTTCCATATGAATTTAAGTACTGTCTTTTCTAGGTCTATGAAAAATATTGCTGACAGTTTGATAAGGGTTGTGTTGAATCTGTAGATTGATTGTTTTGGGTAGAATGAACATCTTGATGGTATTAATTCTTCTAATCCATGAGCATGGGATGTTCTTTCATTTGTTTGTATCACCTTTGATTTCTTTGAGCAGAGTTTTGTAGTTCTCATTGTAAAGATCTTTCGTCTTTTGGGTTAGATTAATACCAAGGTATTTTGTTGTTTGTGTGGCTATTGTGAATGGGATTGTGTTTCTTAGCCTGCTTGTGCAATTTTTGCACATTGATTTATATTCTGAAACTTTATCAAAGTCATTTATCAGTATAAGGAGATTTCTGGCAGACTCTCTAGGGTTTTCTAGTTATAGAATCATATCATCTATAAAAAAGGATAATTTAACTTCCTCTTTTCCTATTTGAATACCTCCAATTTTTTTCTCTTGCCTGACTGCTCTGGCTAGGACTTCCAGTAATATATTAAATAGGAATGGTGAGAATGAACAATCTTGTCTTGTTCCAGTTTTTAGGGAAAATGCTTCCAGCTTCTATCCATTAAGTATGATATTGGTTGTAGGTTTGTCATAGATGTCCCTTACTATTTTGAGGAAAGTTTCTTCAATGTCTAAATGTTTGAGAGTTTTTATCAAGAAGGAATGTTGGATTTTATCAAAGGCTTTTTCTGCAACCAGTGAGATAATCATGTGGTTCTTGGCTTTACATCTGTTTATGTGGTGAATATTGATTTGCATGTGTTGAACCAGCCTTGCATCCTAGAGATGAAGCACACCAGTGTCATGATGAATGATCCTTGTAATGTATTGTTGGATGCAAGTATCTGTTGATAATTTTTGCATCTATGTTCATCAGGGAAATTGGCCTGAAGATTTCTCTCCTTGTTGGGTCTTTGACATTTTTTGGTATCAGAATGATACTGGCTTCATAGAATGAACTAGGGAAGATTCGTTCCTTCTTGATGGCTTGGAAAACTTTCAATAGGATTGGTATCAGCTCTTCCTTGTACATCTAGTAGAATTCATCTGAGAAACCAGGGCTTTTTTCGGCAGGGAGAAAAAAACTTTTTTTTAAAAAAAAGAAATAATCAGATGAGTCTGAAAATGATATAAAATATGCTTATTTCTACTGTGAAAATAGAGTGGAGCTTTCAGTTTTAGCTCTGACACAGCTTTGAAGTAGTCTCTCTTGTCCTTACAATTTTTAAAAACCTGATCAAATTGAAAATCAACAGCATTTCTTAGATTCATGATAGAACTGAGGTCACAGAGCAAACTGCCACTCTGAAATTTGGAGAGTCAGGGAAATGCAGAGGATAATAGCTACAATCAGCTTAAAGACAACAGAAGCCCCTGGAACTGGTAGAAATGCTTTAATGATACTTTTGACAAAAAGTATCTGGAGGCTGTGCATGGACTAGCTAAGAGTTAAAAACTCCAGAGATCTAGTCTTAAGCATATCCACACTTTCATGGCTTTTAAATTCAGGAACCACACCAGGTTCTCCCAGTGAAGAAAGGAGAAAAATTCCCTCATGTTTCAGGCAGGGGGAGAGGAAAATCAAGTAACCATTTAAAAATATGCCCAGAGTGTTCTCCCTATCAAAGCGCTGATCTTTAAGGAAAACTACTTTACCGAGCTTTATCTGATTGGGTGAATGGGCAATTAGAAAACTCCAGCCCTGCTTAGTCTTCTAGTGTCACATAAAGTTGAGAAGAAAAAAAAAGACTATGAAACACTTCTGAAACTCAGCCCAGGGACCCAAACCTATTAAAATACTGAGATTTAATCACAGGATTATAGAATGCTTCCTCCCCACAATAATTTGCCACCACATCAACAAGATTCCAGTATATTAACAGTGGATTACAACTGAGAGGTCTGTAAAAACAGACTCTCTCTTTAAGAAGGAGTTCTTAGGCAAACCCAAAGACAACAGGAGAGGTATAGAAAAAAGAAAACTGAAGCCTCTGGCACTTACAACTACAGCAAGCATTAAACAAAACCCAGCTTCTAACCAGATTAACATAAAATCTCACAACAAAAACCCTAGTTACCTACATTCGTATTACCCAATACCGAATGTCCAGTTTTCAGTAAAAAATTACAAAGAATGTCAAAAGACAAAAAAGGATACAGTCCAAAGAGACAAAATTAGCATAAAAGCTAGACTCAGATATGACAGATTTTGGAATTATCAGACAGGGAATTTAAAATAAGTATGATTAATACGTTAAGGAGTTTAATGGAAAAAGTAACAAACTGTAAGAACAGATGGGTAATGTAAGCAGAGATGGAAATTCAAAGAATCAAAAGGAAATGCTAGAAACCAAAAACAAAAAAAAAAAAAAAGACACTTCTACACTGTTGGTGGGAGTGTAAACTAGTGCAACCTCTGTGGAAAGTAGTGTGGTGATTCCTAAAAGCTCTAAATATCAACCTCCCATATGACCCCACAATCCCCCTACTGGGAATATACCCTGAAGAACCCAAATCACTCTATAAAAAAGATACCTGCACATGTATGTTTATTGCAGCGTTGTTCACAATAGCTTAAACCTGGAAACAAATAGCAAAAACCTGGAAACAACCATGCTGCCCATCAAAAGAGGACTGGATTAAAAAAATGTGGTACATATACATGATGGAATACTA